TATTTCATCACATTTTGTGATGTCAAAACTATAAGTCTTTTTTGGGAACCTATCGCTGGTCCTTTCTGGACCAATGGGATTTTTCCCACTTGAGGGGACTAACAGTTTACAAGAGTATGGTGGCCCTTGTTTCAATTCCGCTAAATCGACTTCTCCTTCTTCGACAGTTATAGTATCGTCGAAGAATTCTGGATCTTCGTCATCCATATCAACATACGCTATCCTCTCTCTCTTGTGAGTTTTCGTTGCCTTTGCTTTTTCAGCTTTGAGGCGTTCTACCTGTCGAACTCTATCGGCCAGTTGGGCCATGTCTCTCAGGTATTGGGTGTCTAGCTTCTTCCTAATGGAATAATCTAAACCGCCTGCGGCCATTTCGACTAACTCATGTTCTGGCACTTGTGTAAAACATCTCGCCTTGAGCAACCTAAACCTATTTAGATATTCGTCTATAGGTTCAGTGAAGCGTCTCTTCACACTGGCCAATTCTTTCAGGCTTATCTTGGTTTTCCCCATGTAGAATTGTTCATGGAACAATCTTTCCAACTGGGTCCAATGATGGATCGAATTGGGGGGGAGAGTTGTAAACCAAGTAAAAGCGTTCTTTGTTAAAGAACTTGGGAAGTACTTGATCCTTAGGTTTTCGTTATTCGAAATGTCACCTGCTTCGATCAAGTATCTCGCCACATGCTCGACAGTAGATTCTGTCGTGTCCCCAGAGAACTTAGTAAATTTGGGGACTTTGCATCTAGGAGGTAAGTCTGTCTGTAACACGTACTCTGACAATGGAGATGTAAAGTTGGGCCTTCGAAAGCCCATGTTCATCCCATTTTGAGTCATGATCCTTTCGATCATAGTTGCCAGATTATTTTCCAAACCCGTATTCTGGTATTGGATATGCTGGTCTACTTCGTCAGCATTTTGGCTTCTGTTAATTAACCTTACCTCTGGGGTTATTACCCTAGGTTCCTCGACGGGTTGCTCCAATCGTGCCCTAAGGTTTTCTTCGACAGGCTGTTGAGCCTGGTTGATGGTGGTTTCTTCCTCTAAGAATATCCCCTGGTTTCCCCTTATTTGCGCCCTTTGGGGCTGTCGAATAGGTTGGGGTACTCCAAAGAAATCAGCCAAACGCGTCATTTGCGCTGACACTTGCTGTTTCGATTGAGTAGTGTTTTGTATTAGAGGGTTTAGCACTGTACTCAAAGTTTGTGCCAACATTTGCACCATATCATGGTTGCTTTCGTCCATTTGTTGCCTCAAGACTGCTGTCGAGGCATTTGTAAGGCCATGGGCTACTTGGGACGTTCCTCCTAAGAGTTGGGTCCTATTTCTATTCGCCATGCCTACTCCAGAACCTTGGAGTGGCGAAGAGGCACTCACTAAAGGGTCTGAAAAAGTGGACGCAGCATTCGTCAGGCTAGCCACTTCAGAAGTTGGCATACCATAGAGTGGCATAAATCCTGGTGGCGCTAAAGGCCTTGTGCCTAAATTTCCCCTTGGTGGGGGAGTTCCCAAAGGCATCCTGGGGCCCGTGAACGAAAGTAATGGCCCCGTTGCTGTGACCGTTACTGCTGGTGTCGAACCAACAGTCGTCGCTTCACTTACGGTCGTACTAACCGTTGCTCCCACATTCGTTTGTGGGATTTCGTTATTGTTTGGCGGATTCGCCATCTCTTCCCTTCTTCTGGCAGTATTGTTATCGTTAGTGTATATTCTACCACTTCTCAATAACATACAACACTCCTCGAAAAGATGAGATTATTTTCAACAATCAACACACAGTCCCACTGGGCGTGCCAATTTGTTTACCTTGGTATTTGGTAAACAACCGCTGATCCTCCAAATGGTTACTTATTTGGTTACTCGCATGATCGATCAGATTGATCCTAGGACATAGGTTGATTTTGAAGTTTTGATTAAATTGGATATTGGTTAAGTGACAATAAAATAAAGAGGCTTTAAGTAAATTGCATGAAGAAAGGACTTTGGTAAAATAAATAAGGCTTTAAATGAAAGGGTTCGACAGGAAAGTAAAGAAGAAAGCAAGTAAATTTCTGGAAAAGTAAATGACTTTGATTAATAAAGTTGGTGTTTCACACATACATTTCTCAACAATTCTTTCTCACACGCTGGGTACTCGAATCTATATGAGTGACTTTGTATAGAATTGTGAACACACGCGAGAAACTACATGACTACTACTATTTATACTAAAACATCCCAAGTAACCGTCGGACAGTTACACTGCTTCGAGATGATTCCACTTGACACGTTCTCAACGTTCGATGCTCCAGATCTTCGCACGTTGCACTTGGTAACCGCTGGAAACCGTTTTCCCTCCAAACGCTTGAATTTCAAACTGCTCCACCCTGAACCATCGAACACCTTCGTCGAGAAACATCTTCGACGAGAATCTCCTTCGACGTCGAAGGCAACAAACTTCTCCCTTGGAAGAAATCTGTTAAGCACCTTGCCCTCTTTCGATGGGCATTTCGACGGACCTAGCCAGTCGAAAACATCCTTCAGCTTTAATGGCTGACATTAATAAAACAAGGGTGTCGAATTTAGGAGCCAACAGTACCATCACTTAAATAATACCAAATACCATCACTTAATAAATACCTTGTAAAACACCATCTTAAATAATATACTAAGCACCATCACTTGATAAATAGTTTGTCAAGTGCCATCATTTGAGAAAACATATCCTCGAACATCAATACTGATGAAGACTCCTCTTAAGAGTTTTGTTAACATCAAAATCAATTCAATATGTTATTGAACTCTTCATACCTACAAGCATTTTGATCCATATTTTCTAATGTATTTCCTTTTATCCATCACTTTTCTCATAAGCATGTTAAAACCTTAAGCTATAATGAGAAATAAAAATAACGACATAGGATCTCCTTGTCTTAAATCTCATTCTATCCTCAATTCTTTAGTAGTCTGTCATTAATTAGTATTGATAATGAATATGTTTTAAGCATTCAACTATCTATCTCCTTCATTTTTCATGAAACCCCAACTCTTTTATCACAAAGTTAAGGAAATTCAAATCAACCGAGTTGTAAGCCTTCTAGAAGTTTACTTTAAACAATAACACTTCTTTTTTGTTTTTCCTAGCTTCATTCACAATTTTGTTTGCAATTAAGATCTCGTTAAGAATTTGCCTATTTGATACGAATGTTGTTTGAGTTTTTGATATAAGTGACATATCAACAAAATGACCTATAATCTAACATCTTCACTGAGTTTCTCTTCTTTGGTATCAACACCATAAAAGAACAATTAGTTCCCTTAACCACCATTCCATTTATGAGAAATTTTATCTTTATCCTAGAAAGTACTAGTTGCTTTCCTCCCAAATTATCGCATTCCCACAATGTTCTTTGAACTTCCACTTTCAAAAATTCTCGAAACAATTCCTCATTTCCACAATGTTCTTTGAACTTCCGTTTCCCAAAATTCTCAAAACAATTCCTCATTGAATGCTTCTTAGATTCTTTTGAAGTTTATGTTCTCTAAAATTGCTCTTACACCACTTGTTGAGTATCCGTGATGACAATGCTTAAAAATCTCATTTTTGTTTCCTTCATCTTTACCTTTCTCCCATTCATGTCAAAACTTAGGATTTCATTATTTTTCTTTCTCTTGTTTAAGCATCTACGAAAATACTTAATTTTGACATCCCCATCCTTTAACCATCTTGATCAAGCCTTTTGCCATTGAATATTGCAATTGAGTCTCGACATATCGTGTAATTTTGCTAAAATCTCTCACTTGAGTATCATTTCCTCCTCTAATAAGACTGCAATTTCGCCTTAGATCTCTAATTCATTTAGCTTTTCCTTTGCTTCTATGATTCTTCTTTTCATATTATGAGTGTGTTTCGTGTGCCATTTGTTGAGTCTTTCCTTAATCTTCTTTAGCTTTTCTTTCAATACAAACATTCTCCACCCTTCCACCTTCATGTCTCGCTATTTATCAATGACGAACTTATGATATCACTTGCAAATCCTTCTAACAATTTAGCATACGAAAAGATTTTAGTCACAAATCTTGAAGTGATTCGCATAACATGATAGGACAATGATCATATCATTCCTTATCTAAGCACCACTGATAACATTTTGGCTTGGTTATGAACCATTTGTCTAATATAAGGAATTTATTCAACCAATTCATCACTAAACACCCAAGTCTAGATCATGCGAGCCTTTTGCCATGAAGCGAAAGATATAGCAACTCCGCCTCTGATATGAAATCGTCAAACTCTTCCACTCTAAAGTTGCATTCACATATAAACTAATCATCCATATTCATAAGTTACACAACCATAAATATTTAGGGGAGTTTTAATACTTCTTAAATAAACATGAAAAACATTTTTGGAAGGATCATTTTAGAAATGATCAAAATTAAAAATTTGAGGGTATTTGATATTATTTGAGAAGTAGATTAAGAATATCCCTAACTACGTAAAATTATACAACTCATTTTTCTTTCATTGAAGCAACTATAAGGCTCATTTCTGTTGGTTGGAACCATCAATAAGGCTCATTTCTGTTGGTTGGAACAGTTTTGTCTGGTGACGAGTTGATCTAGGGAGAGGTTGTTTAAGTGTCTAATGTTGATAAGTGTGTTTGCCAATATTAGATATAGTGAGAAGCAAAGATTGAAAAATGGAAAGTATAATTTTCTAGCAACATTAGTACATGAATTGCTGATATAAAGATAAAGGAAGATTGAAGTAGAAACTGCATTATATATATATACACGGCTTTTCAATTTCAACTGTTTACACCACACAGCCAACAAAGACCCTTTAAACTGGTGCCAGTAGACCTGGGAACCATTATTTACATATAAACCATTAGGTCTAAAGAAAAATACAATTTTCTCAAGGGTTTATGCTACAACAAGATGCTAAATATCTAGCTTAATGTATACCATAATATGCACAATTTGGTCCAAAACTTTTTGAAGAGCATGAGTTGCTTTTACTTTCTCTTAGCAGATGAAGATATTTCGAAGTAAGTTGGTCCTGGGGTCTGCGGACAGCCAAGAGATTGAATCAATTCTTCCACACCCATCACTTTAAACCTAGGAGGTTTTTTCAAAGCAATGTTGTCAACCCGATGCTCGTAAATCTTGCCCTGTTTATCAAGTTTATACTCAGATGTCCCATCAAACCTACCGCGGCTTTCCCATGGAACTCGTGGGATCCCGTGAACGGTCCAGCGAACCATAATTACATTCTCAACAGGCTGCCACACACTGTTTATGTCAATCCATAAAGCTTTGAAAAATGTCTTGCCATGAAATCGTAGGTTCCAGAATATCGATTTGTAATTCTCAATACCCATAAATGTATTCAGAGGATCCTTCAACACAATATCATCCCTGGAAAGAACAAAAGCAAAGTTAGCAGATCAGAGTAGAGAAACATGAATATGGAGTTTGTTATTTTAAAAACAAGCACATAACATAACCATCATGTTCCAAGCAAATAGTGGGAAAACATGTTTTATTTCTACATTGAATGGGGGAGGAAAGAAGCAGGCCCTATGAGGCACGTGTACCAAAAACACTACAGCGACACTGATAATAATTTGAAAAAATAAATAAATTAAACATAATCACAAGTGTTAGTGCCGGTTTCCGACACGGCCACTAAAACGGACCCGTCATTATTCATAATTGTCGGTGCTACAGAGCTTAGGCCTGAAGGTCTCTCTAGAAATAAGTATGCCCAATGACAAAGGCTCCAAGAAGTGTAGTATGGCCCTACTGGTCCTTCCAAACATGGGGTGCTAAATCACACTAAAATATGTTTGGACCTCTTTTAACTATGAGTTATAGCATTGAGCATATCAAGGAAACCATGCAATCACTCACTGATCATGTTTGTATTTGAATCTCTATTCTCGATGCTAACATTTTGTACTTGCTAAAAAATTACAATGAGGGTAGCCCTATATTTGGAAGACTATATGTGGTGTTTGGGATTGTTGATGGTGTTTAGAGTTAGCTCACACAGAGTGGTGAGAAGCTCTATATGAATTTTATGGTAGAATGATTCAATCCATCTTCAACCTAAGCCTGCGATATTTATAGAGGCTCCTTGGGTCTGGGCCAAAAAAACCAGAGAGTGGATTTTAACAAGCGGGTGAGAGACAAACTTGCCAAGACGGCCCCAACCCAATATGGGAGAGTTATTGAGAACAGTGGCGGCCAGTGGTGCAACTTCGGGCGATCTATGGCGCTACTCTTGCACTTGCCCGACACCATTATGTTAAACTCGTCTTGCTTCCCTTTGGACTATCATCTCTTAAGTATGATAAAATTATCGCAAGCACACATTTTATGCTTTCAAAATGTGAAATTTTCCCATAAACTCCCCTTCTATGTTCTTCCCCTCTCTGCCTCGCCACCTCGATAAACCCACAATTTCGAGAATCAATTTATCTATTTACTCATATATTATATATATCTTCCAAATTCATCCTTGAAAACCTATCTCAAAATTGATTTCTATCATCTACATATCAGTATAGACTAAGCAAAATCATAACATCCTTCTACACTCAAAAAACAAATCATTGAATTACGCAAAATCATGAAATAAATGAAGCAAAATCCAAACCTATAGATATCAAAGCTAAGCTCCTTGTAAAACAGATCCGGAAACTCCTCCCTCAAAGTTCGTATAGCATATCCCATATTCACATAATAATTCTCCTTTTCTTTTTCTTCCTCTTTACTCGACCTCGAACCACTCTTCACCGGAACCGAAAACTGACCATACTGCTTCACGTTCCTTTCCAAATCCAAATCCAAATCCAAATCCAAAACCGCACAATCCTTAACTTCGTTGGAAAATTTCACCCCGTTCTTTGATCCAACTGCGTTCAATTTCGCATAGGGTTTGAAGCTATGAAGTTTCCTCAATTTAGGGTTAGGGTTTTGTGCGAATTGAAGAGCAACGTGAAACTCAGGGTAGTGTGACAGAAGCGCCATTGAAAAAGCTTAGAAATTAAAAAGTGAACTATGGACTTTAATGAAGTGAAAAAAGAAGATTAAGTTATGGATAATTGGATTAATTGAGTTATTAAGCGGGAAAATGTGTGATGGGTTGGATTGGGATTTAGGATAGATATTTTATTTTGGGTTTGTTTGGTCATTGGTCTTATGTTTTTTTTTTTTTTAAATAGAAAAAGGTAGAAGACTTTTGGGGAAAAGTAAATAAAATGGATATACATGAAGAGAAAGAAACAAAAATGAGGATAGTTATGGATTTAACAACATCCATGCAAAATGAAACTAAACACTCATAGACAACTATTTAGCAAAAACAACATGGATATCGATAAAAAGACTCAAACGGGTTACTAATAATCACACACTCACAAAGTGAATTGATTATTTGACTAGGGGTGGTTGTGCTTAAAATGAAACAAAACATTGTCTTGATCATTTTCATGCTTTCATACAACTAACACAAACAAAAAATTAAACATAATTAAATCCAGTTAAAATAAGAATTGTGGTCTCCAGCATATGTGAACAATGGAAAGTTTTGTACCCTAAAATTTGTCCTCTCTCTTCTCAAGACATTTCTCACAAAGATTTTCAAAAGCTCAAGCTTGCACAAGTATAAAGCAAATAATAAGGGTGTGCAGATGCAGGTAACTATGTTGAATTCAAAATCTGGTTCAAGCTACATGACTGATTGAAATGAGTGGTTGGAAGATTTGGACAAATCGAAGAAGAAGCTTCGATCCACAAGCTTTGACTAAGCAATGGCTTCCTTCATGCAAGCTTTGACTGAGCAATTGTTTCCTTCATGCTTACTTCGATCCATAAAGCAGAGGCTTCCTTCATGCTTGCTTCGATCCACAAGGCAATGGCTTCCTTCATGCTTGCTTCAATCTAAAAAGCAGTGGCTTCCTTCATGCTTTCTTTGATCCACAAGGCAATGACTTTCTTCATGCTTGCTTCGATCCACAAAGCAATGCCTCCCTTCATGCTTGCTTCGATCCACAAGGCAGTGGCTCCCTTCGAAACAACCTGCTTCGATTCCACCTCTAAACCCTTCGACACACATAGTTTCTACACTATGAATTACAATTTGAGGTTTGGACATTTGAACTTTAGACCACTTAATAAACCGATGGTTACTGGTAGGAAAGCAATCCAGAAATTCTTTCGTTTTGACTATGCCAATGAGATTATCTTGCATGCTCAATATTTGAGACTATTCGAAGGACACACATTTGTTGGAAACAAATATTGTTTCGTCTGTTGTTGAGTCTGGTAGAAGGTTGTGTGGTCCATTCGAAGGACACACATTTAGTGAAAACAAATATTGCTTCATCTGTTGTTGAGTCTGGACGAAGGTTGTAGGTGGCCCATTTGAAGAACATACATTGGTGGATTCGAAAGACATACAACAAATGGTCCATTCAAAGAACATACATTGGTGGATTCGAAGGACATACAATAAATGGTCCAATCGAAGAACATACATTGGTGGATTCGAAGGACATACAATTAATGTTCCATTCGAAGGACATACAATTGGTCCATTCGAATAACACACAATTGGTGGATTCGAAGAACATACAAATGGTCCATTCGAAGAACACACAATTGATGGATTCGAAGAACATACAATTGATCCATTCGAAGAACACATAATTGGTGGATTCAAAGAACTTACAATATGGTCTATTCGAAGGACATACAATATGGTCCATTCGAAGAACATACAATTGGTCCATTCGAAGGACATACAATGAGTCCATTCGAAGAACACACAATTGGTGGAAACAAGTATTATTTTGTCTTTTGATGAGTCTGGTCGAAAGCTGCTGAACAAAGTCTTATTTGATGCCAAGCCCAAGTTTGTTTTACTGTCCACATAACATCCTAAAACCATGTCAAAAAACAGTTTGTTGTACTGCTATGAAACAGCCCTGCACATGGCTGCCATAACACTCCAAAACTGTTGTAAACCAGTCCAAGCCTGCATTATCTCAACCCCATATTTGCACCAAATTAGCATACAAGAGCTGCATCAAAAAAGCTATGAAGACATCATACCCAAACTGTTTAAATTTCATTTGTTTCTCCCCAAAACCCCAACAAGACTCTTCTATAAATAAGATGTTTCACAGCACATCTAAGGGAGCTTGGAGGTGGCTTTTCAGAGAGCTTTTTGACAAACAAGGGGAGGTTTTTTGGCAAGGCAAAGGGAGAATAGAAAAAAAAGATAGGAGAGAACACTTAAAACACTCTTAAACCCAGAACCAAAAAATATAACACCTCTGTTTGTTCTCTCTTTCGAATCCAAGTTTTCCTATCCTTCGAACTCAGGTTCCTTCCTTCCTTCGAATTCAAGAATATTCATGGCAGCAACTCAAAGTTCAAAACACCAACTCCAGATTCAAGATAAGTCTTCCTGACTTTAAACCCTTCATTTCAAGCATAACATGTAAATAACCGTTGCCTTCAAACCTAACCTTTCGTTTGTCTTCCTTTCTTGTCAATTATATGTTAAGAACTAACTTGTACAGACCATAAAGCGATGTTGGAGTAAAAAATAACAGCATGGTTTGACACAAAGCCTTAGGCTTCGAACACACTGCTTCACAGTCCCAAATAAAAGAAAACAAAAAAAAAGGTGTGAATCAAAGGGTGTATGCTTCGATACACACTGACTTGCAGACCCAAACGAAAGAAAATAAAAGAGGTGTTTGAATCAAAGGACACATGCTTCGAACGTGCTGCATGAATCGAAAGACTTGTTCTTTCTCTCTTTTGCGCTATTTTTTGTCTTTATATTTTCTATAAATTTTATTTCATTGCCATTCAATATGGTTGTAATAATTAAGACTTTTATTGCTTTCCACCCCCCATTTGTAAATTTGTATACCCCATCCCCAAATTATGTAATAGCGTATGATATTTATTTTCCGTAATTTACCGCTTTTATATAAAATGCTAGTAATTAGGGTGTGTATGGAAAGATAAAATCAACTGTTAGAAAATCCTAATTTCAAAGACAAAAATGCATGCAATCAAACACACTATTCACACGTGCACCTCTAGGGTAATCTCTCTTGTTGCCTCAGAAAATAGTCATGTCCCTCAAATATGGGCATTTTAGAAAATACCCTCGATGAAAAAAGATCGTAGTCCCTCGATGTCCCTCGGTGTTTCCTTCGGTAAACAATTTAGTCCCTTACGAAAATTGCTAAAACGTCTCGTAAGTTGCCTTCTATGACTATACAATTGACCCACGTCCGTCCCTTCACACCAAACGATGGGGCTTCTTACCAATCAATGGCAAGATAATAACATTTAAAGGAGGAGGAAAAGAACATAGACCTTTTGAGTAGGTAGGACGCTCGTAGTTGCTTGCTCACAAACTAAAACCATTTCCACACTTACACTTTCAAAAACAAACATCTCTTTGAATTATTTTCAAAACCAACACTTTGTATGCATTCTTATAGAGACGAGAATCATTACAAAGTTAGCCTCAACAAAGGAATTTTGCAAAATATTTTCAAACTTACACCCATCATATAACACATTTTCAAACAAAGAATTTTCAAGTGATCTAGCAAGCAACTAAGAGCCCGTAGATAACTACAGATGAAAAGGGTGATAACACCTTCCCTTTTCATAACCTATCCCCTGAACTCAAAGAAAATATCTCAAAGGTATTTCCTATTCTTTTCACCCTTTCCTTTGTTGGATAAAAGAAAAATCGGTGGAGACTCTTGCTATCCATAACAATTTTGATCAAACGCAAAACATCCAAGTCGGTTCTCCCACCATATCACAGAAAGTTACCTCACAAAAAGGGTAAGAGCTAAAGTGATTCACAAATGAACAAGTATACAAAATAATGAATGACATAAAATTTTTAAAAAGTCTAAGTATCATGAATATGCTAAAGTATAGAAAGCGATAAACACATACCTCGAACGTGTACAAAACTTTAACAAAATCATTACCATGCATTCACAATTTGACACACTCATACTTGGAAAATCACCAAAAATGACCTCAAGCTATCGAACCAAAATTGAGTCCAAACAATAACAAAAGAATTAATTATACTAATAATATTTACTACTAAAAACCTAGGTGGAAGTGGGAAAAAGAAAAGCCAAGCAAAAATTAAAAATAAATTTCCGGCTCTGTACAGCAGAACGCGCTAAGCAGCCTGGAACGCACTTAGCGCACTACACCAGATGTAGAAAAAAAGACAACAGCATCTGGTGCAGCTGCTATGCAACTCCACAATCACCTACACACTCTATGTACAAAAATTATAATATTCACAACATTAACAAACATATTTCCACAAGCTAAACACGACAAACTTGCGAAAACACATAATTTTACATAACGAAACATAAGGGGAAAAAATAAATTAACAAGTCGAAAATTGAAAATTTGAAATTTAAAAACTAATCCGAGTTACTCTTATTAAAACACAAGCCAACACATAACAAAAACGAATACAAAAACATATGCTTGTTTTACGTCGTAAGCTCGACACCTTTATGTGCGAGTTAGTAACCTCCTCTCATCATGCCATGGTATTGCCACACCGCACAAACCTAAAGAAAGTTTCCTAACAACTACACAACAAACGTTACAAAAACGAGACAATTTACAACATCACATGAAAATAAAGAAAAACACATATATGCACAAGTATCATATACAAGTTAATATACAATTTTTATATAACATATACACTAATTACAAAACTCAAAAACAAAGAAAATATCGCAATTCAAAAATAAAAGAACCAATCCCCAACAATGGTTCCATTTTGTTGAAACAGTATAACAGCAAGCAAAAAGTAAGTTATTAATTTACCAGATGATATTTATGTTATATCGTATCGTGTCCACTGAGATTGGTTATTGATTTCTCCGTTCGACAAATTTGTTCGTTATTGAGTTTGGGGTTGAATGGGTTTGTAAAGAAAATGT